CTCATGACATGGGGGCCCTCAGTCCCCAAGGGCAGGGCCCACCAGATTGGGAGCATGTCCCGCCTCACCTCTGATCGCCTCGCTCCAGGTCACCTGGCTCTGCGCGACTGAGGGGAAGGGGGTTCGGCCAAAAGCTGGGGTCCACCTGCCACAGCTGACCTACCTCCAGAGCCCTCGCTGCCCCCTGCCCACCAGCAGCAGCCAGAGCATCCCCGTGGTGGTCTCGTGTACTGGGTGGCTGCGATGGCTTATCTATCCCCAGGGCTGAGGCGGGGGCCCGGGAGGGGGCCGAGGTGGGGCTGGGGGGACCGTCAGTTCTGCTATCCATGTTTCATGGACCCAGCAGGCCTAGGAAGCTCCCAGGGATCCTGGTCCTCATCGGGGCTGGCCGGGGCTGGGCCAGGCCTGTAGGTGGGGGTGGGACAAGATGGTTTCCAGGCCCTCCCCGGGAGCAGGGTTGCCCCAGGCCCCAGGGTGCAGGAGGGGCTCCCCACTCCATTGGCAGGCCTCGGCATGAGTCAAGCGATCCGCAGACAGAGAACTGGAGCTCTGCTGCCTGGGGAGCTGACGATGCAGGGGCCTCTCCTTCCCTGGACCCCACCGGCAGTGGGTTACAGACCGTCTCGCAGCCTCCCGGGACCGGAGCCAGCAGGTGCGGACAGAGCGGTCAAGATGTGCGCCCGGGGAGATGGAGCGGCTGCAGGCCCGACACGGGGCCCACAGGGGGCGTCTGCAGAGAATGATGGGGGATGCTGTGGTAGAAAATCTCAGTTGAGCATTTGGGAGCATGACTGGGGGACATACCGGCCGAAGGAGAGGTGCACCTGGAGGGGTGAATGAGGAACCAGCAAAGGGGACTCGTGCTGTGCACCTTGGAGACTGGTGGGGGCTGCCTGGCAGGGGAGGTTCTGAGTCAGGCAGTGGGGACCCCATTGTCAAAGTGGGGGGTCCCTGGGACACTGCTGTAACGCCCCAAATCCAAGCCAGCCTTCACCTGGTCAAACCAGGTGGGACAGAGGGGTGCTTATACAGGCCCTGATAGGAGCGGACCCCTCACCTTCCCCCCCTCTGAGGAATCTCGGTTAAGGCCTCCCATCTACGTCCCCAGAACACCCCAGCATGGGGCCCAGGGGACCCCCTGGGAGCAGTGTCTAGGCCTGGTCAATGGTGGGGGGGGGGGTGCTGGGAGTGGGGCCACTTCTGGTCACATTCCCAGCTTTGTCCCCTCAAATGCACCACCTAGTAGAAGGTCAAACCCCACAGCCCCTGCCTCCTGGCTTGTACGAGGATTAAGCCAGCATTTCCCAACGTGTGGCTCCTGGGCTGCAGTCCGTGCAGGAATTCTGGGAGTGCATAGGAGAAAGTGAGGAAGCATTGGTTATTATTTTACTCATATTTTTCAATCTAATATTTTGTATTTATGTTGAAAAAAATGTGCCACTGCCATATGAAACCTACAGTTTTAGAAATATCGCCACTAAAGTCAAGGCTAAGTTGGAAAAAGAGAAAGACAAAAAGAAGCAGAAAGACATGATCTAAATAAAATAATAATACAAGTGGGACCAGTGGTATTTGTTGCTGGCCTGCCTCCCCCAAGACACCCCCAGAAGAGCAGGGTTTTGTCTGGTCTCCAGTTGTGTCCTCAGTGCTTAGAATCGCGCTTGCTTGGCACGTAATACGTGCTCAATAAATACTAGTCGAATGAAGGAAGGAAGGAAGGAAGGAAGAAATAATACAAATTAAGAAATCCACACTCAAATGTCTGACTTTGAGGAAATAATGAGAGAACATACATAAAACCCTTGGAAGCACCCAGACATAAGTGCTAAAAAGTATTCATACATACACTTATTATTATCAAAAATTATTATTATGTACAAGTGCACCAAATAGACATTCTGGGAAAATGCTGACTGGCTGAGCATGAAAATCAAGATATGGCCAGGGCACCTGGGTGGCTTAGTCGGTTGAGCATCCGACTTCGTCCGGCTCAGGTCATGATCTCACAGTTTGTGAGTTCGAGCCCTGCATGGGGCTCTGTGCTGTCAGCATGGAACCCACTTCAGATCCTTTGTCTCTCTCTCTCTCTCTCTCTCTCTCTGCACCTCCCCCACTCATGCTCTCTCTCTCAAAAATAAACATTAAAAAAAAAACTTTTAAATAAATAAATCAAATCAAATCAAGGTATGCCCAAAGCTGAATACCACCATCCTAGGACAAACTTTTGAGATGTAAAAGCAAATCTGAATACGTATTAAACATTTCTTGCTGTCACGGCCTTATTTTCCACAATCACAACAGGCAAGTCTTTCAGGTTGAACACTTCAGGGAGGGATAATTTCCCCACTTTGTCAGCTGCCAACATGCTCCTCCGGTCAATAAGTTTCTGTGGCGGTTCTAGAATGCGGGTCCCGAATTCTATCAACGGACTGAGAGTTGGGGTCGGTCTCTCTCTGCTCTTCTGAGTCTGGATAGGTTTGTGATGGCTTCGGCCAACTGAGTCGAGCAGAGGGGAGGCTGAGGTGTAAGAGGCAGTGTTTGTGGAAAGGCTCACTGTGGAGAACGAGACACCTGGGAAGTCCAAGTGTCCTGGGGCGGCCATGCTCAGAGGCCAGCGAGCTGATAGCTGAGCCTAACCTCTGAGCTGTTCCAGCCCCGGCACCAGACATGGGACTAAAGCAGCTCTCCTAGTCCAGTCTCTGTCCACCGACTCCTTCCTTCCCATAGATCTTCCAGCTGAGGGTCTGGACGTCACGGAGCAGAAACAAGCTGTCCCTGCTGTTCCCGTTAGACCTTCTGAACCACGGACTCCATTAGCGTGACGAGATGGTTGCTATTTAACCCCCCCCGCGGTGGTTGGGGTATTTTGTTATGCAGCAAGAGGACAGGAACAGCTGCTCACTTAATAGCTGACGCATTTAAATAGTATTACTTCTTCTGCTGCAGAAACTAAAATCCGCTCCCTACTCCCACCACGCCTTGAACGTTCACAGTGATTATTTCCGATCATTGCAATCATTGTTAATCAGGGTGGCATTTTCCTTGTAAGAGAGCTGTTGTGGAAGACTGTACGTTCCTCCTTCCGCTGGACGGGGAGGAAGCCAGCTTACAAACCACACGCGGGGCTTTCCACCCCAAGTCATCCAGAAGGCTTTCTATATTTGAAAGCGAATATTCAGATAAAAAGTCTATGAGCGCAAACCCCTGCTTGTGTCCCGGATAGGGTTGCACCCGGTGGGCCGAATAGTTCTGGCTCGGAGATGCGTGCCAATGACACGGAAATAAGAGTGTTGATCTTCGACTTTTCTGAAGACCAAGACCTCAGCAGAACATCAAAACAGTCCTGTGTTGTCATTAGTTTTCTCATATCTGCGTGGCTCCTTGGGGAGGGGGCGAGGTGGGTGGGGACAAGAGGAGAAACTGAGGCTCACCGACCCTCAGCAAACAAAGGAAACTGGTAAATGGCTATTGAGTGAGTGGGCACAATAATGGTCGCAGAAGCCAGCGCCGCCCCATGGCTGGCATGTTTCCAGTACACCTGCTATCGGCTTTTAATGCCCAGACGTCCACTAGATCCGCTAGAGCAGGCTGTGTCCCCTCAGAGCCCCAGGGCAGGCCGTGCCCTCTTCAGTCCCTTGCGGAGCAAGGTCATGTCTGCTCTGCCCAGCCCCTCCTGCCAGGGGTAAGCTCCTCCAGGACTTGGCTCCACCCGCTCAGGACCCCTACGGTGGGCCATGTTCTCTCAGAAGCCCTGAGCTTCATAAAACACACGTACGGGTCATTTTTCAGCTAATTGCAAAAGAAAATTTATGTTCACGATGTGCAAGTCAAGTCCCAGATGGGATGGGTAGGATGGTCCATTCACATGCGGACATTTGGAAAACCTGCCTGGAGCTTGCGGATGAGACAGGAGGAGGGGGTCGGGTGGGGCTGAGGTGCTCCCAAAGGACAAAGCGATGGTGGGGATCAACCACACTAAGGGTTTGGTATCCAGGGAGTGAGGCTCGGAGCATTTTCCAAACGCTCAGTTATCCAAAGGCACTTTCCTGTGTCTATTTATGTTTTAGGAAATTGCTCGGATGGACAACACATAATTTTTATCACCGAAAGTCATGGGAAGCAGGCACCCGTGAGCATTTTCCTGCAGACCAGCTGGTTGCCAGCAACACATGGATGAGACCAGGGCAGAAAACACTTGATTTCTCCCAGTTTAGGGGCAGCAGCACCCCCTAGTGGCCGGCAGGCCTCCAAGAGATCTGCAGATGCTCTAGGGAACTCTGGGAAGCTGGGACCCGACCTCCAGCCCAGACCAAGGAAGGGGTGGTTGTCTCAGGTTCTGCTCACAGGGCCTGGCACTCCTATCTCCATCCTACAGGGACCCAGTTTCCTGTGTTGGCCTATGATGAATGTCTTTTTTCCCCCACTGGGTATCCACATCATGTTTTTAGAAAAAGCGCCCCATTTTCCATTGGGGAACCCCCTATACTCAAGTCATATAGTTCTTGAGGGTCAACCTTCCTGACTCCATGCACTACGTGCACAGTGATTTGATGAGGGATGAGGATATGACCCGAATCTGTCCAGAGAGAGCCAGGCCTGGACCTTGCTGTAGCTACTGGTTAAGAATTCCCTTTCTACTGGGGCTGCTAAGTGGTCCGTGAAGATAAGCCTTGTGTTTGGGTTGAGGGGGGGGGACATCTCTGTCTCTGGTTGTAGTGGAGTCTTCTTGGAAATAAAGCTGGCATGGAGAAAAGTAGATGTGAGAGAAGAAATGAGTCACAGTCCTGATAAAAAAGTATATGAGCAGCTGGATCCAACAGTACCTGAAGCCGATTGCTCCAGGGCAGTTTCAGTTAAGTGAACCAATTATTTTTTTTTTCTCTTAAGCCAGTGGGGACTGGAGGATAACGCTCCCTGCCTGATTTGTGCCAGTCCCTAACTTCTCTCTTCCCTCCCCCACAAATGTCCTCATCGCTGTTTCCATTTGCAAACTCAGAGGCCACGTTAATCAAAACCATCTTTATTATTTAAAGAGCATCCTGTCATCAGGGGCACCTAGATGGGGGTCCCCAGATGGCAGAACAATATTTACATGGGGGTCAGGAGGGTGAGGCTCGGGTGGTCCCAGGGCTGAGTGGGCCCGCCACTGTGGAAGAGAGGAGCCTGGAGGGAGGGTATCCTTGGACCTGTGGGCTCAGCCCAAGAAGAAAAACGTCCCATTCCAGGCCCAGGGTGAACCCCACCAGGTGGGGCTGGAGCCACCTAGGCGAACTTGGGCCCTGGAGGCGTGCACATCAAGGAGAAGCCGCAGGTCAGAGCTGGGTCACCATGCCGCTGGCTTCGGAGTGAGTCTGGGGAAAGACAACTGGGGGCTTCTGAGGACTGAGAGGTTTCCCCAGTCCCACAGCTCACCTCCCCTCCCCAGAAGCCCTCTGAAATCCATCTGTTCCCTAGGCCGCCCTCTTCTAGGCCTGAGCATAGGTTTCCAGAAAACCCCGCCTTCTCCCTTTTCCCCATTAGAGTCCCAAACACTCCCGCCCTCTGGCTCCCATCTGGGCCCAACGTTCACCTTTATGGCCTGGAAGATCCACTCCCGGAAGTCACTGACTTTGGTGTAGACACCTGGCTTCTGGGCCAGGGCACAGCCGGTGCCCCAGCTCACGATGCCACACAGCCGCCAACGTGGCGTCCGAGAGATGCTATCCTCACACACGAAGGGGCCACCGCTGTCACCCTGGTGGGGGAAGGGGAGGCCTGGCTGGAGGCCGAGAGGGCATCCAGGAGGCCCTCTTGAATGGCCAGCGGCTGTGGCCACAGAGCCCCCTGGGCCTGAGATAGGGAGCCCGACCGCCCCCTGCCCTGGGTCTCCATCCCCGGAGTGGCAGGGGCTAGGGGCTACCCCACACAGTCCCTCACCTGGCAGGCGTCGATGCCACCCTCAGGGTAACCGGCACAGAACATCTTGGGCTTGATCTGGTTCGCGTAGAAATCGGGGCCGTTGCAGACATCGTTGCTGATTATGGGGACTCGGGCCTCCTGGAGTACCCCAGCCTGTTGGCCTGGGGGTGTGCGGGCAAGGCTGGCCAAGGCTGGGGAGCGTGCGCGGCCCCCTTCCCTCCTGGTGCCCCCCGCCCGGGCTCCTCAGCGTCCCTGTGCCCTGGGGCCCAGAAGCATTCGACCAGCCGGACTGCTTTTCCCCAGCCCAGCTCAGTCTCCCTGACGGCGGCTCCGCAGACAGAGGACGGGACTCACCGTAGTACTGTGTGTTGCCCCAGCCGGTTACGGTACAGATCTTGCCATCCACCAGGGCCTGGCCGGCAGCCGGGAGGCACACGGGCTGGATGTATTCTGTGAGAGAGACCATGCGGTCCAGCCTCTGCCAGCCTGGCCCACCTGGTACCAAACCCCTGTCCGGCGGCCTCAAGCGCCCCGGTACACCCTTTCCTCGGTTCTTTTAAAATAACCACAGGAAGAGTTGCCATCAACTGAGTTAACCGTGTACGAGGCGCTTTCCCGTGTCCTCCAAACTCCCATCAGCCCGGGGGGAGGGGAGGGGCACCGTTAGCCCCTTTCCAGAGGAGGGACATGAAGCCCAGTCACTTGTCCAGGTCTCATAACGACTCAGTGACAGAGCTAGAACTGGAACCCAGGTCGGCCTGATTCCAGAGCCGGGGTTCTTAACCACGGCCCACAGGGCCAGCCCCTGCCGAGAGGGTGCCTTTGTGAGAAGTAGGAAAAGGCATCCCTATCTTTACATACTTGACTTCCAACTGCCAGAAAATCATCACAGTAGATACACAGGTCTACGCCCACAACAGTGACAATGGTGCCCCTGAGATGCGATGTCCTTGTGCCGGGCACAACACGCACAGAGGGTTTGTCTGCTCCCTGCTGGTGACTTCACGGGCCTGAGCCTCGGAGCTCTACGCTATAAAATGGACAGAATAATCTTTTCCCCTAGAGGGTGTGGTGAGAAACTGGCGAAGCACTGAGCAGCCCACCTGACACATAGGAAATGCTCACATGAATGAGTCACAGTAATAAACGACAAAAGCGGTGACTGCTCACACGAACTGGGTGCTCACTGTGTGCTGCCATCGCTCGAAGCTCTTTACTCACATTCCCCTTTTAATCGTCTCAAAAACCCTAGGCGGCCATTTAATGGATCAGGGAAACTGAGGCACAGACAGAGGTGAAGCCACACACTCAAGATCACATAGACGGCAAGCCCTGGAATCTGATCCCAAATCCTATGCTGTTACCCCCTTGGCCCCGTGTCTCGAACCGAAGCCACTCCCACCCCCTCCTCCTGTGCTTCCACGGACACTTCTTTACTGCAGTATTTGTAACCCCCAAAGACAAGGCTTTGTTTTTGTTTTTTTTTTTTAAGTGTATCTGGGGCGCCTGGGTGGCTCAGGTCACGATCTCATGGTTCGTGGGTTCAAGTCCCACATGCTCTGTGCTGTCAGCGTGGAGCCCAATTTGGATCTCTCCCCCTCTCTGTCCCCCACTGGTGCATGCTCTCTCTCTCTCTCTCTCTCTCTCTCTCTCTCTCTTTCTCTCTCGAAAATAAATACGAAAGAAAAAAGCAAAATGTGCACCATCCCCTTCGATGGGAAAACCAATAACACGGGTCATTCAAAAGAAAATGGGCATAAAAATAAGTATAATAGAAACCACAAAAACCTGGGGGTTACACGCACAGATTCCCACGCCAGGCAGGCTTGGCTCAGATCTTTGCCATTTTTCCAACTGTGGGACTTTGGAGCAGAGTTCCCTTCTCTGTGTCGGGATCTTTCCCCAAGTGGGAACGAAGGATCAGAGGAGGACCCACCCTCCCCAGGCTGCTGTGGGGGCTAATTGTACTATTTCATTATCATTGTACCTGTACCTGTACGATGTACCCGTACGATGTACCCTGACGGAGGCTCATCGTCGTCATTACTACGACTTCGTGGCCATTGTTTTTATGATTAGTGTCACCACACTGTGGTCTGCTGAAAGTGGAAGCCCAAGGTCTGCTCTCAATCCAGAGGCAGGCCCTGGAGAAAGCGTCCTGGCCCCCAAGGGGAGTCTTGCCCCCTGACAGCAAGGAAATGCCCCAGAGAACTGCAGAGGGGCTAACTTCTGAGTCCCTCTCTGATTCATCTATTTTAAAAGCCTTCTTCATTTCATCTTTTTCATTTTAATTTTTTTTTTTATGTTTATTTTTGAGAGAGAGGGAGAGACAGATCGTGAGCAGGGGAGGGGCAGAGAGAGAGGGAGACACAGAATCCGAAGCAGGCTCCAGGCTCTGAGCTCTCAGCACAAGAGCCCGATGCGGGGCTGGAACTCACGAACCACGAGATCATGACCTGAGCCGAAGTCGGACGCTCAACCGACTGAACCACCCGGGCGCCCCTCTTCATTTCATCTTAACTATATTTGTTGGTAACAGCTCTCTTGAGATGTAATGCACACACCATGCAGGTCGCCCTCTTCGAGTGTACGAGTCAATGGCTTTTTAGTGGGTTCACATAGAGTTGGGTGCCTGACGATCCATTTTAGAACAAAAGAGATCCTGTGTTCTTGACTCATCCCCTCCCAGTCTCCCCACCCCAGCCTCGCCCCTACCTCATACCTCCCCTACCCCCTGGTAACCACCGATCTTTCTCTGTCCCCACACCTGCCCATTCTGGAATTTCATTTTAACGGGATCACAGAGCGGCCTTTTGTGTCTGACTTTGGTTTAGCACAGTGTTTTCAAGGCTCATCTGAGTGTGTCTTGTGTCGGTACCCTGCCACTCCTTCCGTGTGTGGACGGACCACGTTCTGTTCATCCGTTTGTCAGACGTGTGGGTTGTCATCTTTTGCTTGTCGTCAACCGAGCTGCCTTGAACATCTGTGTGTGAGATTCTGTGCGGACATGTGTTTCCGCTTCTACTGGGCGCGTACCCTGGGGTGGAATTTGCTGGGCCCAATGCTAACTCCATGTTTGGCTTTTCGAGGACCGGCCGGGTGGTTCTTCAAAGTGGCTGCACCAGTTGTCCCTGTCTGACGCGTGCCCGTCAAGATCGTTTCTCTCACCCCCATGGATTCCTATGGCTCCGTCCTCTCTCCTCCCAGCCTCTGGAGTCCCCAAGGCCAAGGCTCACCTCCAGACTTACCCGTGAGGGGCAGGGGGCTGGACAGGTGGACCAGGGCGATGTCATTGCTGTTTTCCTCACTGTTGGGGTCTCGAAAGGGGAGGTAGCCCCCGTGGTACACCACCGCCTGCACCCCCAGCTGCAGGCCATGGGGGGAGGCCTGGGCCACAGCTCCGGCAAACACCCGCCAGCGGGACAGGACCCGGTTCCGCCTGCCAGGGGACAGGAGAGGAGGACGGCAGCTGCCTGGGCACGGCCCGTCCCACGTCGCCTCTCCCCCTCAGCGCTACGGGACGCTCACTCAGGGAAGCAGTGGGCAGCTGTCAGCACCCAGTCTCCAGAGAGCAGGGACCCTCCACAGAGGTGAGCTCCATCGTAGCGAAGACTGACTTGCCACGGCCACCTGCCCAGGCTGGTGTCTCGGCCTCCCACGATGCGATCCACAGGCAGCTTCCGACGGCCACAATCTGTGGGAGAGGCGGAGTCACGGGGGCCCCGGGAGGGCCTGGAACCTCAGGACACAGCCCCATCCTTGGGGATCTATGGGGACAAGGTCCTGCCATCCTGAGGGAGTCTGAGAGGACACAGCTCTATCCCTGTAGGGTTGGATATGGCCAGTGTGGGGCGCGGGGGGCGGGGAGGGTGCCTGATGGGACACGGCCCTGCTCTGGGTTTGGGGGGAGGGCCTAAGGGAGAGGGTTCTGAGTTTCAGGGTCTCACCTTGGCAAACAGTAGCCAGGAAACGGCCCCTGGGACAGTCACTGTGAGAGAAAGACAGGGGCAGAGGCAGAAATAAAAAGAGAGGCCAATTAAGACGGAAGAAAGGGCACCGACCGCGGGCGGGTGGGCGCCCCTGCCCGCTGCCCTCCTCACCACACGGAGATGACCTCGAGCAGCCTCCGGGCCAGTGGCAGCCTCCCCTCGTCCACGCAGAAGAAGCCCGACGTGCCGTTGGCGCCCGCCGTCCGCACGTCCAGCTCCGAGTGGCCCAGGGCCCTGGGCAGGCAGGGGTCAGGCCTGCTCCTCCCGCCCCGCGCCGCCCGCCCACCCCCCCGAGGGCCGCCCGCTACCTGAGGAAGCCCATGTCCTCGCAGCCCAGGCCCGCCACCCCGGCGTTGGAGCGCGAGGAGCACAGCAGCCGCCACGTGCCCTCTGTGTCGTCGAACACCATGAGCCGGGCGTCGGCAGGGCTGACCTGCACTGCAGGGCGACAGGACGGCCGCCTGGGTCACCTCCCCGCTGTGCCCACCCGCTTGCCCGCCCGACCCTGCGGGGCTCCAGGCCAGGGTCTCCGCGGAGCCAATAGGAGCTGGGGCGCACCTATGGGCTGGGAACCCGGGGACCTTCCTGTGGCCGCCGGGCTGCCTGAGCCGGCTGCACAGGCACCGCTAGCCTGACCCTTTGCTTGGCCATTTGGGAAGAGGGAAGCGGTTTCCACCGAGCTCCGGAGAGGATGGGCGTGTGCAGCTGGATCTCCCGGGGCCATCTTTACCCCCAGGAGGGGAAAACTCAGCCAACGTGGAGGAAAGCCAAGATCTGCCCCTTGATGAAGCCAGGCTTGCCAGACCCCCAGAACTGTTGGAGAAGTAAGTTCATCATTTCCCTTTCTGTTTAACCAGTTTGTTTCTTTTTTCTTTTTGTCTTCTGCAGCCTGAAGACCCTTGACACATCAGATTGCCCAAGTATCTAGAGACCCTATAGTTTTTTTGAAAGAAAGAAAGAAAGAAAGAAAGAAAGAGAAAGAAAGGGAAGGAAAGAAAAGCTATCTTTTTTTTTTTTTTTTTTTTAATTTATTTTTGGGACAGAGAGAGACAGAGCATGAACGGGGGAGGGGCAGAGAGAGAGGGAGACACAGAATCGGAAACAGGCTCCAGGCTCTGAGCCATCAGCCCAGAGCCCGACGCGGGGCTCGAACTCCCGGACCGCGAGATCGTGACCTGGCTGAAGTCGGACGCTCAACCGACTGCGCCACCCAGGCGCCCCGAAAAGCTATCTTTTCTGCACGACTTGTCCAAGCCTTGAATATACTAAAATGCATATGGCACTTCTCCAAGTAGTATCCATTCATTCATTCACTCATTCATTCACCAGATAAGGGTTAACCAGACATATACTCCGTACCCAGTCCTGTGTGGGGTGATGCTGGGGGCACAAAGATGACCTAGGCGGCCCTGGGTTGTGCCCTCACCAAGCCCAAGTCCAGGGGTGGGGAAGACAGACAGCAGAAAAAAAGTCCCTCAACCAAACACCTCATCACAGGCTGTGAGAAGAGGTGGGGTGGAGACCCAGTAAGGCTGGAGAGAGCCCATGTCTGGGGCCGGTTGTGTTGAGAACTGAAGGCCCTCTGAGCCCCTCCCAGGCTGCTCCCCACACGGCCAGAGGACCCCTTTTCACACCTAAGCCAGGTCACAGGCCTCAGGCGTATTTATTTACATTTGCCCCTCAGCACGGCCAGGCTCTGTTTTGGGCAGTGGACAAATTGCCAAAGCAGTAAGCGAATCAGACAAAACCCCTGCTCTGTGGAACTCAAAGGCCAGTAGGTGAGACGGGGAATGGAAGGGACACATGAGTAAAATAGACGGTGTGTCACAAAAGGAGCCGGGGAGCCAAATCAAGGCTGACAGAGGCAGGGGCGTACTGGCGTGCGGGGTGAAGCTGCCATTTTCCATAGGCGAGCACAGAGAGAGCTTCGTTGAGGAGGTGGAGTGTGAATGTAGATCTGAAGGAGGGGAGAGAGTTGCGAAGGTAGGTGAGGGAACAGAGAACTAGGCCACAGGGCCTGCGAGTACAGAGAACCCAAGGCTGGTGGGGGGTGCGGTGGGGGAGGACCAGCAAGGAGGCTGGAGCAGAGTGAGCGAGAGGCAGAGGAGCTGGGAGGCAGGCTGGGTCAACACCGGGACTTTGCTTCTCCCCGAAGAGAGGGGCAGCCAGGGGAGGCTCTGAGCCGGGAGGCCCTGACCCCACTGGGCGGTTCACAGGAGAGCAGCGGGGGACCTGGGGAGGGGCTGCTGTGGTGCCCAGGAGGGGGTGGATGGAAGCTGGGCCAGGGCAGGGACGGTGGGGGCGAAGGCTTTAGACCCTGGGTCGCAGGGACAGGGTTTGCTGGCAGACTGGACGTGGCTGTGAAGGAAGGACAGGGGTCAAGGACAACTCCACGGTGTTTGGCCTGAGCCATAGAAGGATGGAGCTGCCATTGACCAGGAAGGGGAAGGGGGCCGGGGGAGCAGGTCTGGGGAAGGACCAGCTGCGACCTCCTGGGTCCTCTTCTCCCGAGCTTCCTGCATTGCTGCTGCTCCAGAGCACATTCTAAGAAACCAAATCTGGGGCAAACTCAGTTTGCCAACCTCTCAGGAGGAAGCCGGCGAGGCCGTACCCAAGCCGAGTGGTCTTCCCATAGCCCCACAGATCTGGACAAGGTCGTGCTGAGACCCTGCTAGGTGCCCAGCACTATGCCTCGTGCTCTCCCTGACCACCAACAGCAGGGCCTTGCCACACCACCCCGAAGCCACAGAGATCCCCATTTTGGTCAGAGGAGGGGCTGAAGCTTGGAGAGACGGGGTGACTTGTCCAACATCACCGGGTGAGTGAGAAGCAGAGAGGGTTCGCACCCAGGCTTCGCCACTCCAAACCCCAAGCTGTGAATGTTGCCCTAGGCGGCCTGTCCAGCCACTTCCCCTTCTGAGGGTCAAACAGTGACAGCGGGGGGACGTCAGTGGGTTGGACCATGTTATGCTATGTCATACCTAGTAGGGGGGGTGGCTTTTGAATCTCACAACCATCCTAGGGCATAGAGACCCCTTCTATGCCCATCTTGCAGATCGGGAAACTGAGCCTCAGAGAGGACATACTTGCCTAGGAACCTACCGCTAAGAACCAGCAAAGAATTTGAACCCAGGCCTGCCAGCGTACATTCTCACTGCTGCTTCTGAGGGTCTCACCTGGACTTTCACTGGCCCCACCCTGGGCACACTTCCCCCAGCTAGCACTAAGAGCCTCCTGGCTGTCCTGCCTTAATTATGGCCTCCTGCTCTGAGGTGGGGGCAGGCGATGCCTGGTGCCTCTGCTGGATGGCGCCCACCACCCCGCATTCCAAGACCAAGACCTGGGGTTCAAACTGTCAGCTGGGGGTGAAAAGTTTCCAAGTGTTCCAGATAGGCTGAGGCCTTAGGGAAAAAATGATCACTTTATGGATATGGGTTGGGGGAGATGCGGGGAGGGAATATCAAATGCCCCCTCCAATTATTTTTGAAGCCACGTTCTGTGCCACCGTTTCTCACTTTTCAACTCTTTATTCTTGTTTGAATTATTTGAAAAAAAAAAAAAATGTGTTCCGGGTCACCTGGCTGGCTTACTAAATTGTGTGATATAGTTAGAGGTGTGAAAATGCCAGGAAAATGAGGTGGGGATATAGTTTTGCGTCTGTGTTTGTTTGTTTGTTTGTTTGTTTTGTAATTTCCCAGCAGTTTTGGAAAACCCAAGTATAACTTGAGCAGTAGTGCTGACGTTGCCCGGAGCTCGGTCTGAATCACGGCCTGGTTACTTTCCAGCTGGAGGCCAAGAACAAGGTAGTTCATTGGCAACTTGTGTGTATTCATTTAAGCAAAGACTCCCTGAGCACCGACTTAGATGCAGGACACCGTCTAGGACAGCAAACAACATGCCCCTGCCCTCCTAAAATGCACCAGAAGTACATAATTATCAGTGTGAGGAGAGTTTTACCGCGGCAACACGGATGGTGGTGGGGTCGGGGGGAGCATGAGGTCTGGGGTGCAGGAAGGCCTTGCTCAGGAACGTTAAAGCCTGAAGGTGAGACACAAAAGCAGTATTTACCAAGTGGCTGAGAACCAAGCACTGCAAGGACCTGCATCTCTCATTCTGACCCGCGCCCCTCGCCGCTTACAGATGAGGCTATTGGGACTCAGGCGGGGCAGGACCGGTAGGAGGCCCCAGAGCTCAGAGTGACGGTGCGGAACCTTGAAACTGCTCCTAGGTGTGAGCTGGAAAGAGGTGATAAGCAAAGACTGTGGGACCGGGAGGGTTCCTCAAGGGCATGAGAGTGGACCCTGGCGAGTGCCAGACGCAAGCTTGAGGTGCGGGCGGAAGAGGGGGATGGACCCTAGGAGCCTTGGAGCCGCAACGGGTTGAGATTTTAGCCCAGCGGCAGTGGGGAGCTATGGAGGGGTTTTCGGCAGGGGCACGATCCCTCTGTCCTGCCGCTTATTCGGTGTGTGGTCTTCACTTCACTGGGCCTCAGTTTCCCCCATCTGAAAAATGGGGATGATAACAGCTCCAAATTCACAGGGTATGGTGCAAAATTTACAGCCAGGGCCTGGCAGATGTTAGCCGTCACTATGGCCAGTTGCTTGGCTATTTCTCGAGAAACAACAGAGTGTAGTTGTTCTGCACAAAAGCAGATCTAGGCTACCTGGGTTCAGATCCCAGACCCCGCCGCTTACTAGCTCTGAGACCTGCAGTACATCACTGGGCCTTTCTGTGCCTCGGCCTCCCCACATTAAAATGAGCTTTAGGGGAGGGTTAATGAATTGACAGAATAGAGCCCAGGGGCCTGCGCCCGGCACCTGTAAATGCCAAGTGCTGACATGATGACCAACATGGACGTAGGCTTCCCTTGTCTGGATTTTCATTTCTTCTCTTGACGTGAGCAGAGCCCTTTATGGAATTGATGAGGCTCACGGGAGTGAAAAACACATGCCGACACTTAAGTTCCCCTTTCTTCCTGCTGCTCTGGGCCACAGAACGGCAGCCTGGGGCTGGCATCTGGGAAAATTCATCCATTCATTCCACATTTAGTGTCTGTATCTATTATTAGTGTGGCCATTCATTCTCAGCTGCCTGCAGACACAGCTCTAGCAGGCAAGTCTAACAGCTATTCCTGGCCTCATCATCTACCAGCTGTGTGCCCTCTCTGGTCTCATTTTCCACATCTGTAAATGGGGGTCATAACAGCAGCCGCCCCCCAGAAGAACTAGAATGGGTCGCCGAATTCATACGGCACCCCTCAGACAGGTTTTGACCCTGCCTCGCAGTAAGGAACACATTTTACATCACGGCGTAGCCCTGAACCTGTGCTTTCTGGGGCGAATCATTGCGTTGCTCCGAGCCTCAGTTTCCCCATCTGTAAAACGGACTGATAAACAGTACCACTCTCGTAAATCCAAAACAGAAGATTAACAAAACTTTTTCTTACGGAGAGAGGTACACTGTGGTATTTTCTAATCTAACCTATTTTTTAAAATGCGGTTTTCAACTCCCTAATTTAATTTCACGATGCACCAAGCGGGTAATGCACTTAGAGTCTAAGAGACACGAGACAAGTGAAGTGCTTAGAACAGTGCCTGGCCCAGAGCAGGCCCTCCACACGGCACAACATCGCTAACTTCTCTGCACAGGCTCCCGCAGTCACTCAGGACCTTTTTTCTGGAGCTCCCACCAGGTACATGTGTCCTCCAGGGCTTCCCAAAGGGTCCCAGCCTGCTTTACTCACCCGGATACAGCGGCTCCTGATCACTCTTGAGTAGAAAGGTCACTGCAGAGAAGGTAGAGGTGAGGGCAGGCAGGCGGTGGGGGGGGGGGGGGCGCCGGGGGGCGGGGGAGGGTAGAGGCCCAGGGGCCACTCTCACCAATGGCCCAGGATGCTGCCCCGATGGCCGTCAGGAGCAGCAGTGTCCCCACAGCGAGAGCTGCCACCTTGGGTCCGGAACAGCATGGCACAGTCCGGCCACCTGCAACAGACACCGTGCTGGAGCCACCGCCAGGCCTGTCCTCGTCACGGCAGGGTCTGGGCACGGAGCCAGCTCTTAGCCCCCAGGGCTAACTTAGCACGCCTGAGCCTGCCATGCCCTGGGCCCAGTTTCTCAGGGCCGTCCCTCCCCTACAGCGTGGACAACCAGGTGTCCAGCTCCACAAGGCTTCCCGCTGGGAAGGGGCGTGGCCAGGACAGCCGCACTCCTGTCACGTAATGATCTTTCCTCCCCGGTGTCGGTGACACATGACAGGCGCTTCCGCACTTTGCTATCTCCTTCATCGTGTTGCACCCTTTTCTCGAAACTCTCACTTCTGATAACTCTCTCAGAGGTTCTTGTGACCCTTGACCTTTGCCCCCTTGGCAGCTCACTTCCCTCCTGTTTGGCATTTCCCCACCACCAGTCTGTTCCAGTCCCTCCGTCCTTGGGTATTCTCCCAAAGCCAGACCTCTCCCGCAGGACCCAGCTCCAAGGTCAAATGTGCCCCTGGAGGGTAAGAACCTAAGTTTGAAAATTCGCAAGCCCCACTTTGAAATATTGGTCTTACTCCATGCTGACAGCTCGGAATCTGGAGTCTGCTTCCGATTCTGGGTCTCCCTCTCTCTGCCCCTCCCCCGCTCATGCTCTGTCTCCCTCTGTCTGTCTCTGTCTCTCTCTCAAAAATAAATAAACATTGGGGCGCCTGGGTGGCTCAGTCGGTTAAGCGGCCGACTTCGGCTCAGGTCATGATCTTGCGGTCCGTGGGTTCGAGCCCCGCGTCGGGCTCTGGGCTGACTGCTCAGAGCCTGGAGCCCGTTTCAGATTCTGTGTCTCCCTCTTTCTCTGACCCTCCCCTGTTCATGCTCTCTCTCTGTCTCAAAAATAAATAAACGTTAAAAAAAAAAAAAAAGAGTTAAAGAATCCATGCTATAAACAAAAACAAATAAATAAATAAATAAATAAATAAACAAACAAACATTAAAAAACATTTTAAATGTCGGCCTTACCCCTCCCTCCCTGGGACCTTGGACAGGTGGCATCACCTCTTTGAGCCTCAGCTTTCTCATCTATTTAATGGGCATCCTCCCAGCACTCACCTAAAAATAATACTTTCAAGTTCTCTTAAATAATAGCCAAACTCTAATCACGGGCTTATTTTCTCAAGCACTGCTCTAAATGCATTCGCTTACTTAGGCTCATTTCAATTATGGTTCCCATTCTTCAAGCAGGAAGCACTAAGGCTCAGAGAAGTGGAGTCACATGCTCAGGGTGACTCAGCCAGCAAGAGGCAGTGCTGAGTCCTGAACCCCGGGCACGTTTGGTGCTGGGGCCCAAGTGTAGAACCACTAAGCCATGCTACCTCTCCCCGTGCTATAATGCCCGGCATAGAACAAGTTCTCAATAAATGCTTTTACATCATTAGAGCTGTGTGGTCCTGGGCAATACCCTTCACCTCTCTGGGCCTCACTTTTCTCATTGGTAAATGGAGCTCTATTCATTCATTCATTGTCCTGTTGGAGCAGCCACTGTACCTGGCCCCATTCTAGGCTCAGGAGACACATCCCAAAACAAAACAGGTGAGATGCTCGCTCTCGTGGGCCTCACATTCTCATACGTGTAAGGTTGAGGGGGAAACATAAGCAAGTAAGCAAACTCGATCACTTCCAGACTGTGGCGAAGTCTATGAAGGAAATAATGCAGGTCGGGGCAGCAGGTGGCCTCTGGAGGGTGCTGAGGGAAGGTCTCCCCAAGAGGGGACTTTTGAGCAGAGACCTGAAGGGTGACACCAGCCATGTAAAGATCTCAAGGAAGAGCGCTGTGGGCTGAGGGAACAGCACAGGCAAAATCCTTGAGGCAAAAAGAAGCATATGATCTGTTTGAGAGAGGCCACTGATGTGGCCAGAATGTCATGAGCTTGGGGGAAGGCAGGCACCGAGGCTGGGACCAACGAGGGAGGCCAGTACCCTGAGGAGAAGGGGGGTTTTATTCCCAGTGCGACAGAGGCCCTGGGGATTAAGAGCCACCCCCTTTTGCTAGGGATTGTGGGAGGGCCGAAGATGCAGGGCTGCTAAAAGCCTTTGGCAGGGCCTGGCGTGTGCCCAGCTGTCCCTGGCACCTGCAGGCCGTCCCCGGGGCAGCAGGAGCTCCCAGCTCTCCCCTCCATGTCGTGGTAGTACAGCTGGTGGGCACAGGGCCAGACCAGCACCCAGAACGGAGCAAGGCCTGGTCCAGGATCCTCCTGGGACGGCCGGTGTCTGGGTGTCTTAAGAACTTGAGAAGCCAGCAGTTCCCGTCAAGGCATGAGAAAACAAATACTCCCTCCCTCCAAAGAGGCCACAGTGGGCCAGGCCAACCCTGGCCTCCCGCCCACGCCCGCCCACCGGCGACTCTGCCCCCAACCATCTTCCTGGTTCCGGTGGGAGGTCTTGACTCCCTGCAGCCATGAGGCTGGTCCTGGTCCCTTTGTTTTCAGGTGCCTGTCAGGGCTTTGGGCCCGGCCCGGGGGCTCTGGTGTGCCTGCCGGGGTGCCAAGCGCTGCCACCCCGTGTCTCTTGGGGTGGGAAGAACCTCCTTCCACGCCTTCTGGATCTGGGGACTTCGAGTAACCCTAAAACAGGTGCCCCTGGTGGGACAGGAGGCGTCTTCACTCTGGGTCCGCCTGTGTGAGAGGCCTCCTCACAGCTCGTCTTTGCGGAGGCAGGAAGTATCCTCACTGTGGGCGTGAGGCAGCCTCCTTGCCCTGATTCCCGGGAAGCAGGGGAGCCTCCGGGCCTGGGAGGCAGCCTGCCCAGCCTCTGCCGCAGGCACTGCTCTCTGCCCCCCAAGGGCACTAAGGCTGCCCTACCTCAGGTCTTCTGCCCCCACCATTTGGCTGCAAACCCTCACAAGTGACATCTTTGGTTCCTTGGCTTGAAACTCAGGCTCGTGGCTCAGCCCTCACCCTACCCAGCTCCCACTTCCTGAATGGAGGGCCCTCCTTTGGCCTCCGGGATACGGCACGTGCCCGATTTTCCTTCCATTTTTCCGATGGGGCCTTCCCCATCCCCTGACCCTCTTCTTACTCCCTGAAACCTGGGGTCCATAGGGTGGCACATGGCCTCCCCCCACTCAGGCCCCCTGCTCCCATATCTGTCTCACACACCTCCACAGCCTCAGTTTCCCTTTTCTGTCCTGCAGCCTCGTAGATGTCCCCGCCCACAGGACCCTCCTGGTCTGACACTGGCCTCAATGTCCTCCCAGCCCCCAGGTCCCGTCAGAGGCTCTCATCCTCAGGACTGTCCCTCATCTGCAGGATGCTTCCCCCTGCCACACACACAGCTTGCCAGCTCACAGCCTGCAGGCCTCCTGAGCATCTCCTGTCCACCCTCTCCTTCCCTGCTCCCAGCCCCACCTGGGCTCAGCCTCCCTTCTAGTCCAGCCTCCACACAGAAGCCCAAAGATCTTCCTAAACACAAAATCCATCCTGTCCCTTCTTTACCTAGAACCCTCCATGGCTCCCCAGTGTCCCCAGGACAGAGTCTTAGACCTTCAGCCCTGTGGTGCAGCTGTTAGAGATTCGGGGATTGAACATGTTTCCCCAAATTCCCAGAGAGTCTTATGGGGCTTTCTTTATCAGACACCCAATAGTTTCCAAAGAGCAGTCAAAGCCCCAGAACTTGTAAAACACAAGTCAGTATAAGAGAAACGAAGACTAACCACCAGCGCCATCTTGCGGAGAGACCCAGCACTGCCAAGGCATCAGCCAGCCCTTCAGCAGAAATAGTCCTAAGAGACGTGGCTCCAGCTTGCTCACCTCACCGCTGCCCCAGCTCCACTTCCGGTATTACCTCCAGAAATAGCCGAATTACCCATGTGCCACTGCACACCCAGCGCCTTGTCAGCCCCTGCCTTTAGCCGCTCTTCCCTCTGCCTGGCACACCCTACCTATTCCCTACTCGTCCTGAGTGTCAGCCCAGGTATCGCCTCCTCCAATTCTGAGTCCCCAGGGAGCACCAAGAAGCCTGCCTTGGGCACACTTCAAAGTAACACAGATGTAGCAGCCACAGCGCAGGGATGGCTCTCAGCCCTGTCCTAGCCCCGTCCTGAACTTCCCTTACATCCTTGCACCAGGTGTTAATAAGGACGGTATCATTATCCTCGTCCCCAGTGTACAGATGAGGAAAGGAGGCCCAGAGAGGCGCAGCCACCTACCCTGGGTCACCCAGCAAGTCGGCGCAGCACCAGAACCTCTAAGCATCTGTATCCAGGTTTGACCACCAGCTCCAGCCCCGCCAGCAGGACCCCGCGACGGGACCGGCTTGAGCTGCCCGGGGGTGCACTGGAGCCCCACTCTGCCTTGCTTCTCTCTGTAGCCAGACCATCTCCGGCCACCCCTCTGGGCATGACCTGCTTTTCTCCCCGGTTCATTCACACATGGGCCCCGGGCCCAGGGACCCCAGGAGACATGCCGTCCCTGAGGTTCCAGGCTCTGTCACCCACCTGCTCAGCCAGGACAAGTGCCCCCTCCTGAGCCACTGCGAGCCTGGGCTCGCTCTGGGCCACAGCCATGCGGCTTGGGGCTTGATCTGCCAACTGTGCTGAGACCCCACAAGGGCAGTGTCCACACTGATCGTTTCAGCCAACACAGCCAGCCCTTCCTGCCGAGCATGCCATTCAGACCCCCATGCCACCCTGTGAGGCGTGCCTTCGTATCATCTCCATTCTACAGATGAAAGCTCGAGGACCAGAGAGAATAAATCCGGGACCTCCCAGCCAGAAAGTGCCACCACCTGGGACCAAACCCAGCTAGCCTGGTTGCAGGAGGAAGAGAGGGAGCCGGTCCCCACTGGAGAGGCAGGCAGGAAAGGCCGTCCCCTGATCGGGTCCCTCCAGCTGGCCCCCAAGCGTGGAAGAGGTTGAGGGAGAGGCGGGCTGTTTGGAGCCCCCACCGGGGCCTGCCAAGAGCCCTTCAGTGCCAGCCACTCGGGCACGTGTTTTCCCCCATCGTTCCTGGAGTGCTTTCTCTGCGACCTCTCCCCTCTCCATCCATCCTGGCCGAGTCCAAAGTCCTCTCTCTGCTCTTTTGCCCACGGTGCGGGGAGGTGGGAGGAATGTCTGCAATCGGTGGGGGTCTCGGGTCCCGGGGACGCCAAGTCGGCCGACCTCTGTCATAACCGCTCCAGTTCATGGCATGTGTCTCACATGCTAAGCCCCACAGTGGTGCCTTGTGTGTGTTCCGAGCTCCCAACAACCCCCGTACATAGGCAGGTAGGTAGGTTGGTAGCATTAGGATCCATGCTTGACCCAGGGGTAAAATGAAGCCCAGAGAAAGGATGTCAGTTGTACAAGACCACACAGCAAAAAAGTGGCAGGTTCAAGTACAGGCCTGTGTGTTTAGCTCCAGAGTCTGTGTCCTTAACCATGATAGCTGGTCTTCCCACCTTAGCCCCAAGGAGAAGACGGTCCAGGGTTCGCTGAGAGATCACTGGGGTGTGAGGGGAAACTGAGGCATGGAGCCAGGCAGGTCACATGGGGTAGCGGGAAGGCGGGTGGTGGCACAGCCCCACAGAAAATTTGGTTAATAGTTAATCAGGTGGAAGAGACTTCCTAAGGGGCTGGGGGTGGGCCCAGGAGGGGTGCCCTGAGCAAGGGGGCTCTGAGGGGGTGGAGGGCTGGGAACAGAGCACAGAGGGAGGGGCGCGAGGCAGAGCCAAGGTTGGGACTCAAGGAAAAGGGGACTCACCCTCTTTCTCCGCCATGTCACGGCCTCTTGTTAATGATTCCCCGGCTGACTTCCTGGGCCGGGGAGGGACCTGTGGGGAGATGAACCGAGAGGCAGGGCCTGGGGGAGCCGAGCCCAGCCCCGGTGCCCCCAGTCCCAGGCGCCCATCCAGGGAGGCTGGAGGGACTGGGCCCTGGCCAGAGCACGCCGTGATCACGGACGCAGATCGGGCCGGGTTCAAGGATGGGGTCAGTGTCTGACCAGCAGCCAGGGGACGCCTGATTTGCAGGGTTGGGGGCCCCCCGTGCCTGGGCCTTAGTGAGGAGTGGGCTGAAGGTCTGAAGTCCTGGGGCTGAGGGAGTAGATGAGAGCTGGGGACCTGAACTCCTGGGTCCTGGGGAAAAAGGCATTTGGGGGCTCTGAACTGCTGGGTATGTGGGAGGAGGGGCGTAGGAGCCCAGACTCCCGGGTCTGAGGGAGGCGGAGACTGGGGCCCCATCCCTGTGTCTGAGGGAGACGGGGTTGGAGCTCCAAGGTCCTTGGAGAGACGTCTGGGAGCCCCTCTACTGGGAGGTGGGCGCTAGGTAGGGTGAGGATGAGGGGACCCGTGTCCCGGCCTGGAACTGAGGGCCCCGGTCCTTACCCTGGGGTCCGGCAGGTGGGGGCGGAGCTGAGAGATAGTGCCCTTGTCGGGTCAGTCTCCAGGCCTGGGCAGGAGCATGGTGGCCCCGCAGCAGCGGTGGCCCGGAGGCAGAGGCAGCGGCGTGGGGCCTGCTAGGCCTGGCTGCCTCACCTGAGGAGGAGGGGGGCTGGGCCGGAGGCGGGGGAAGGGGCGGGGAGGGGCAGGGCGGAGGGATCGGCAACGCTGGAGGCCACCTGGCTGGTGGGGCAGGGTTTGCAGGGGCTGGACCTGGCCGGCCTGCCCCCGCATCGCCTCCTTCCGGCCTGGAGGGGGCCCAGGTGTGCCAGTCTGAGGGGACGTGGAAGGGGGGGGGGGGGTTGGGCAGACA